CAGTTAATAGGAAAGGATCCTGCCTGTGCAGAGGTCTTCTGCAGGCCTGTCTTTGATGAAGTCCCTAATGTCTGTATCTGACATTGCCAGAAAACACTGGAACCACTTTAGAAGCCTGAAAGTCCCTCATCACACTAAATTTTCAAAGGCATTACAGAGCCTAAATCAAAGACACAAAGTAAGCTCAGTGTTGTTCATACTGAGGTCACAGAAATGGAGCAGAGGCCTGGGTGATGTCCGAGTCAAAGTTCAATCTAAATAGTTCCTACAAAGAGCTGGTTGCTTAAGAGTAGGGTCAGTATCTTTCTTTTACTTTTTCTTTTTTTCTTTTTTTGTTTTGTTTTTGTTTTTGTAGTTGGTTGTTTGTTTTTTCCAGACAGAGTTTCTCTGTGTAGCTTTGGAGCCTATCCTGGCCCTCGATCTGTAGACCAGGCTGGCCTTAACAGGGATCATGGGCAACTTGTACTTACACCCTGAAGAAAAATGGTTTCCCCTCCTGAAGCAGGTATTAACCGCCAGCAGCTCCTGCACTAAGGAACAGTGGCTTCTTGTTGTTTTCCTTTTTGTTTGAGATGCTATGTAGTTCACAATCCTCCTTCCTCAGCCTCCAAAATACCAGGGTTATAGGCATAAGCTGAAGCATTCTTCCCCCAACAATTTAATTTTATGATTTGCAGGGGGATTTCAAAACAGGGTTTCTCTGTGTAGCCCTGGCTCTTATGGAACTTTCATTGGAGACCAGGCTGACCTCAAACTCACAGAGATTCACCTGTCTCTGCCTTCCGAGTGCTGATATTAAAGGTGTATGCCACCACCTCCTGGCTTCTTTATTTTTCAACATTTACTTATTTATCATGTATTTTGGAGGGGGAGGAGTATGTGCAAGAGGACAACCTGCAGGAGTCGGCTCTTTCCTTCCACTGTGTGGATCTCAGGGATCAAAGCTGGGTTGTCAAAGTTGGTGGCAACACTTTTCCTTATCCCAGAATATCTTGTGGACCCAAAAATCCCATAAATAGAGTAGGATCCGTAGTGTCATGCTGCAATCCCAGTACACAAAAGATGGAGGCAGGAGGTCAGTACGACTTACCCCAGGCTGAGCTATGCATCAAGAGTCTACTTTAAAAAACAGGTAAGGGGTGGGGTGGGTGAAGATGCTCATCCCACAAGCCTGATGACCTAAATTCAATCCCCAGAACCTACATAAAGGTGGAAGGAGAGAAGCAACTCCACAGAGTCACTCTCTGACTTACACATGCACACCACACACACACTCAAAATAAATGAGAACATTTACAAACAAATGGGGAGTACTGTGTATGTTTATCTTATTGATTGTTAAATAAAATACTGTTTGGCCAATGAGACAGCAAATTAGACGGGACTAGAAGTTAAAGAGGATTCTGGGAAATGTAGTAGAGAAGTGATGTTCCAGGCAGGAAATGACAAAGCAGGGAGACTCATATTTAAGCGAAGGAGAAACAGGAAGGGCCCCCTTTTTCCCCTCTGCTCCTGCGGCACAATGATCCACCAGCAAGGAGGGATGCCAATAAGGTGTCTGATAAGTCTTATAAAATATATAGATTTATGATAATTAAGACTGAGCTAACAGATGAGGAATCCTAGTCATTGGCCAAGCATCTTTGAACCTAATACAAGTTTCTGTGTATTCATTTGGGCCCTAACTCGGGCAGGCGGCTGGCGTAAAGCTCACACATGGTGGTGGGGCTCAGGCGGCTTTTGGCAGAAAGATTTATTGTAACAAATAATAAGTGAAAAGCAGGTTGGGTATTTAGCTCCATGGTAGATGCTGGCTGTGGCACATGAGAGCCTGGGTTGAGTCCCCAGTCCTGTCAAAGAACAAAACAAAATTACAGATCAAGTGAAAGTGGCACACACCTTTAGTCCCAGTACTTGGGAAGCAGATGCAGGTGGATCTCTGTGAGTTCCAGGCCAACCTGGTCCTTAGAGTGAGTTCCAGGACAGCCAAGGCTGTTACACAGAGAAACTCTGTCTTGAAAAAAAT